GCCCTTCTGTATTTGCTTGTTTTAGACTATTCTGGAGTTAGAGCACTATGTAATATCCTTAGCTTGTGATTCATGGGTGTCCGAGTTTTGGGACAGATATATATATATATATATATTGGATTTGACAGTTATATTTTGTATGCTGAGCGGCACTTTTAAAATGCTATTTTATTACATTATTTTTGTTTTAAATTGTATTCTTCCGCAAATTTGTTTATTTTCCGCATTTTAGGCTTACCTAGTCGTAAAGACTAGGTGTCATTACGATGGTTCACGGAGGGTGAACCGGGATCGTGACAGTATTGTATATGTCGAGCGGCATCTTAAACGCTTCGTTATGTTATTTCTGTAGTTTATGGTTAGTTTTATTCTATTATTTCTGTTTCCGTAATTTGTTAGGCTTACCTAGTCGTAGAGACTAGGTGCCGTCACGATAGTTCACTGAGGGCGAACTTGGGTCGTGACATCTTTGTAGATTCCCTAATATACGACATGCTCTGATACCACTTTGTCACGCCCCGAACCTGGGGAGGTGTGGTTGGAACCCGGTGTCGTAGTGGCCCGAGCGAACTACTCTATAACTCACTCATTTCTTTTTATAACTATCATGGGCCAACACGGCCGCAACTCGTAATCTAAAATTTTAAGTGGGCAAATGTTATATTAATGAACCATCGTTCATAAAACATGAATACATATGGGCCGTCAAGGCCTCTGACATATTGTACATAGTAAACATGTGTCTACAAAACCTCTAAGATTATTTGACATAAAATGGGACAGGGTACCGGCCTACCCATAAGTATGTGGCAAAACTCTGATGCGATGACTCATAGACTTGGCTGCACTCCGAATGAGGTGGGGTCTTACCGATCCTTAACTGAATTCCAATCTCGTCTACTATGAGGGCTCGTCAAACTAATTATCTATACCTGCAGGCATGAATGCAGCGTCCCCAACAAAAGGACGTCATTACGAATAATGTACCGAGTATGTAAGGACATGTAAATAAATATATAAAAGACATGGAAGAAATATGGGGTAAATGACTCAACATGTAAGTCTGGATAACTCTCTAATTCATGAAATAATTATATTGACATGCATATACGTATAAATGTCATGTCGTGCATAGGTACATGTTTCATAAGATCATCAGGCCTCTGAGGGCATCCCATCATATCATCTCGGTCGCTTTGGGCAAAATCATCTACACATACCAACTGATCCGGTGGTGGTGCGTATATAACGCCATAACCTTTCCCATATCCCATATATATGGGATATATATATATATATATATATATATATATGCATACATAACGCCATCTGGGTCATGGGTAAACGCACATGTATAAAATGAATGCAATGCATAATGAAGTAAGCCAATATGATCTCTTGGAATGTCATGAGACCCGATAGATAATATGCTAGTAGGACATATGGGGGATCAAGAACATAGGCAACCTTAGTACTTCTAAGAATAGAATTATTTATTAAACTTGCTTGTTTGCTCGTTTCGTTGCATTATGTGGATCATGCCAAAATGAAAGAAGGGATAGCCTTAACATACCTATTCTTATCCTAGTTGCTCAAGAGCTCAACTCGTTCAATATACCTCCACACATAAGTCTTTTCAACTTAATCTTACGTTCTCCCTCGATATACAACAATGTATCTACGTTTGTATCATATTATCAGATGCCAAATGGAGGACCTAGGAAGGATCATTCAAGATACTGCATAATGAACTAGTTTAATTCAATCAATCGTTCTACCAATATCCTTCCAAGACCTAAAGTAGGAAAGCTTATTGAATGTTAAGTGCACCACTCCATACTGCAGCTCCAGTAAGCCTCATTATCTAGAGCCAAATAGGTCTTTCTATTTTCGCTTCTTCAGCAGAAAAGGATTAAGTAGGTTCATGCCTTAGACGAAACTTTTAGTCTTTGAAAACATGTACCCATAACAGTTTCCTTTGATGATAAGTTGACAAATGATGAGGTATTAAACATGATCAACTATTTTTCTTACTCACGTCGAATCATATGGGATTGGTTATGGTAATTAGGACCTTTTCAGTTTTATGTATGCCTCATATTTTCTTACAGATAATTCTCTAATACTCATCCTTGTCCAATCTTCTTGAAATACAATATTTCAGTTGCTAACATTTATTTTTTTGAGAATGGTAACATGTTCAGTGGCTAACATTTATGATGTTATCAAAATCCTAACTTAGCAAAATAAGGCATCATCTTAACTTGGCAACTCATGTTAACTAAGTAGAGAAGGTTTATATAGAATCCAAGCTCTGCCTCTCCTATTAATTGTTGACGGTTTCTCCAACTTCCACCTAGCTTCCAAGACTTAGCTTAGTCATTATTAAATCCTTGCTTGCTGCCACGTTTTAGGCTTTGTTAAGCCTTATCCCAACATTTTAGTTAATTACCCACTAATCCTTAATTAACTATTTAATCTCCCACTATTCAATAATTAATTAATTGCCCACATAATTAAGAATTATCTCGAATTACTTAAAATACTACTTATTTTTAACACACTTTATATAACTTACTATCATGCTCATGTGGTATCCTATAAAATAAATACATATACTATTATTTAAAATATCCATGTAAAAATATATATATTTTCTCAACTTCTAATTTTTCTAATCTCATATAAAGAGTACAAATTTTCGTACGCTTAATTCTTAAAATGGTAAAAGATAACCCTCTTTTCTTGTGAGAAAATAATTTATATATCTTTTTCCTAATTTTACTATCTTCAGACGGTTCAGAACAAACACATCGTCTATTTCAACATATGTCGAGGAAGTCGACAATGTGAAATTCCTAATAGGCAGTCATTATATGAAAAGAGTTATTATAAGTTAAAAGAAATTAGAAAGATGTTAAACGAGTTAAGAAGTATCACTCTCAACTTGGATGTTCCTAGATTTATGAAACACCATTTTCAGGTGATACATAAAAACCAAAATGAACTAAAACATGGAATCATTTCATGGTTATGTATCCAAAACGTATCCAATATAAGAACATCACCTTTTTTATTAATTCAGAGTGTATTTGAAGAATCTGGGGAAAAAATCTTACACTTTTTCATATTTGTCTAATACAAATATGAGAAAGACAAATGAAAGAACCTTATAATACAGCAAGTGGATATAATTTTTATAATATGTATTTTTATAAACTGTCTTATATTATGTGTATATTTACCATATCTGAAAGTAGTAATAATGGTAACTATCCAAAATTATACTTATAAAACTTTTACTAAAATACTCTACTTAAAGATATACCACACTAACATAATATCTAACGATATTAAGGTTGTAAACTTACAGGGTCTCATAATAATAATAATAATAATAATATCTTAAACCCTCTATAACCTCCCAATAGACATAATCCCTTCGAACTCATATAGATTACTACGACTCATCCTAATATTAAAATACGGGATGTAACAATTATGATATTGATTCTGATGATATGGTGGGATCGGGTTGCGTGCCGCAACAAATTTTATATGTGATTCTTGATATTGATTAATGATTCTACGGTGAAATAACGGAGGATTGTGTGTATACAGTGGGATCGGGTTATGCGCTGCAACGTATTGTGTGTGTTGTATTCTTTGTTGTTATTGTGTTGGTTTCCATCATTGTTACATGAAATTAAGAGATCAGTTATTCGAGGTTCTCTGATTACAAGGATTGAATTCTTTTTCATAAATTAACTGCCTTAATTTCATTTCATGTTTTTCTTTTCTATTATTATTATTATTATTATTATTATTATTATTATTATTATTATTATTATTATTATTATTATTATTATTATTATTATTATTATTATTATTTGTACAGGTTATTGTAAGTGACCTGCCTTAGCCTCGTCACTACTTCGTCGAGGTTAGGCTCGGCACTTACAGAGTATATGGGGTCGGTTGCACTCATACTACACTCTGCACTTATGCAGATTTTGGAGTTGGTCCTAGCATCGGTCAGTAGATTGCTCGGATCCAGTGCTTGACGGAGACTTGAGGTACAGCTGCACAGGGTTCGCAGCCCTGAAGTCCCCTTATACATTTCCTTTAGCTGTTTATTTCGGATTCAGATAGTTATGCTTTCATTTATACTATTATTTGTAATACTCTAGATGCTCGTGTATTCGTGACGCCGGTTCTGGAATTTGTACTTGGATAAAGTCGTTTATCAGTTTTATCTACTTTATTTCAGTTTATTCAACTTATCAGTTTTCATTTGATTTGAATTGTTTAAAATGGTTAATAATTACTCCTTATATTGGCTTACCTAGCAAGTGAAATGTTAGGCGCCATCACGATCCCAAAGGTGGATATTCCGGGTCGTAACACTGAAGGGTACAACTTGTTTATTCATATATTCCCAAGTCCAATTATTTTACCTTTTAAATAATATCCAACTAATTTAGAATAGATTTCAACAGCAACGACTGAAAAATAGGGTCTTGTTCTTTAAATGAGTTTTAAAAGGAGGTGCATATTCAAATTTAATTCATATTTTCTAATTGGTGATAACAAATTATTCCCTCCGTTTTAATTTAAATAATATAGTTTGACTTGACATGGAGTTCAAGAAAAAAAGACTATTAAAACTTGTGATCTTAAAAGTTATGTGGGGCCATGATATTTGTGTGGTCATAAAAGTTTGTCATTAAGATAAAATGGAATGTTTAAAGTTAAATTATTTTCCAATTATAGAAATGTGTCATTCTTTTTGGGTGTCATCTAAATTGAAACGGAGGAAGTCGTGACGAATGGGATAGCGTTATAATACCTAATACACCAATTTTAACCTTTAAAATAATGCACATAGGAATGTCATATGAACAGAAATCATTTGTCATAGAACAGTCGAATATAGGATATGTAGACAGCCAATTTAGCATATGTAGAACAACTGATAAATGTATACAAGATCACTCTCCACATCAACCCTATAGTCTGCACAGTTAGAGCCAGATTAGCTGTTGAGCTATGCCCTTTCTAAGAGAAATACATGATCATAAACTAGTCTTATCCAAGATATTCAACATGCCAAAATCACAGAAATTTAAGGTAGTATAAACTATTCTGAGCCAAGAAACAGACAAATGACAGGTTTTAAGAGAATTGTAAAGTAACCAAACAAGATAGAGCTAGACCCCTTGGCTTTGAGAATTAGCGGGAAAAAACAAGTCTATCTTGTGATATGCACGATGAAAGAATCCAACTGAATTCGAGAAGCTCCCCCTTTCTCTGTGGACTGCCTTACGGCTTCTCCTAATTCTTCAGCTTTTTTTTTCTAAGTTCGTCGCCTTCTTCTGATGCCATTAACTTCCTAACAACATTCTAAATGGCGGATGCACTCACCAACTCCTTGCGTTTCTCCCACTCCCTAAAAAAAGTAGGCCTATTTTCAGTATTTCCGTCACCAAAAAACCATTTTTTGGTTGGTCAGAGTGCATAGGCCAAACAGCTATTGGCACTCCCATAGTAATACTCTCTACACAAGAATTCCAACCACAATGACTCATGAACCCCCCAGTCGACGAATGAGTCAAGATTTCTAGTTGTGGTGCCCATTCTCTGACCACTAAGCTACTTCTCTTACCCTTTCCTCAAACCCTTCTGACAACTCAACTTTTCTAGCTTCCTCAGTAAAGATATCTCCTCTATCGGCATCTCTCAGCACCCATATGTCTCTGTTTGCTCTGTTCTAATCCCATCGCAAGCTCCTTGACTTCCCTATCAGAAAATGAAGTTGTTGTTCCAAAAGATATATAAAGAACAGATCTTGGAGGTTGTTTGTTAAGCCACTCCAAACATATATTCTTCCTACTTGAGACATGATCAAGTTTAGTAGGCAGAACTGGTCCAATTGCCCATTGTTTCTTGATCATTTTGATATTTTGTTATCAATTTGATAACACGAGAAGACAAGATTCTTAATAATCTAGTAATCACAGCATCAAAGGAAATCCTTGGACAAATTTACATTCTTTGAAGGTGTTGGATAGTCATCAACCCTTTTTGAATGAAGAGGAACTCTGAAACTGACTATGAGTTACGATATGAGTATTCAAGTGACTACTCCAAACTATGTACTTTCTTGAAGATAATAACATGTCAAAACCAGAAACAAGATCCTCAGGACTTGGCTGAGACTGTCCCGAACTAGGATGTACGATTTCCAATATTCCCAATACCACTTTGCAAAGCAATAGATGTCTTAGTCCATCCTTGTCTTGAATAGCAGTTTGGAGACAATCAAGAGCAGAAAATTGAACTCCGTGGCAATAATTTGATTGAACAAAACCATTAGAAATTATGTCAATAATTTTCCTTTAAAGTTCCATGCCAACCAACCCTCTTACAGCATTCCCATTGCACTTCTTATCCATGGTTTTGTAATTAGAAGGAAAGATTGAAACTTTGTTTGCAAAAAATATGAATTGCCTCAACTTGAATTGATGATGCTAGTGCTGCCAAACCAGATACAAACTTGTCCATTTCAACTTTGTGCATCTTATGATCTTGATTGATTTGTAGAAAGTCACTATTACCAAATAACTGAGTTCTTTCTTAATTTTTACTGCCTGAAACCCCAGTCATTCGATCAGGAGTTATCAGACTTCGAACTTCAGTTTTGTTATGATGTGGTATGCTTGAGCTCGAGCTTTCAGCTGGATGCTGGTACTGATATTCAAGTCTCTGCCTTTTCGCGTCCAGCATGTTGGGCACCATGGTTAATTCTGGTAGAGGGTATAAAAATCAGAGAAGAAAGGATAAATTCCAACTATTAACATATAAGAGCTAAATCTGCTCTACGAGTTTCTTGGACAAAGAGGAAAAGATACCACTTGCGGAATGAACACTAGCAAACAATATGGCACTGCAAAAAGTAAAGGATTTATCAAGACACTTATATAGTAGTATGGAATTAAGCACAAATCCCACAAGAAATAGGGAAGTCAGAAACCTTTTTCCGGAAGTTAAAATCTTGAACTTGAACCGACATGGAACTGAATGCTTTTCCTATTTGAGGACAATAAGGTTAATAAAGATAACTTCCACATTTGTCAAACATGCTATGAACTAGAACTTGTGTCAGTATTTTGATTGTCGTAGTTTGACCAGGCACTTTTCTTATCACACATAAAATCGTAACTTTTCCTAGCAATGGAGTTTCAATACCCATTAGGTGGTGGAGTTTGGTAAAATCTTGGTCATTCGACCACCAAACCCAAAGCCATTGCAGGAACCAGCATGCTGTGACAGGTTTGCGTTAATTTCGATTTCATTCTCCGCTAATAACCAGAGGTGTCTTTTCTAAAGTGGAAGCATAGGTGTCTTTCTATTGGAGCCAGGCTTATACGATGTTATCTTTTTTGTAATAAGTTGGTGAAGTAGATACATCTTTCCATTCAATCTAGGTAACTTCATTCATTTCATGTTCACCTTCCATCGTCACATAATTAAAGTGCTAACAATCAGCCGTGTGGTACAGCCTATGATTAAAGGTAGCAATTGTGTGGCAGCTTTCGACTCGTACCATTGTCCCACTTTAACTTGAAAGAGAAATAAGAGAACTAAGCACAATTACTCTGATATGCTAGAACATTGCAAAGCTAAACATTTGTGCTCTGCAACAGAGAGAACAACATTCCCTGCTTTCACAACATGGGAGACTTGATGTAAAACACCCCGCTAAAGGGGCACACAGTTACTCGGATCATCTATTCATCTGATGTTGAAACTCAACTAAAATGTGATAGTCATCTGTCAAAATCTGAAGCACTGCCTTTGTATACTCCATCTTAATACACAAATCACAATTCCAAGCCTCCTTCGAAAACTCGCCTATCATTTTCATAAGATTTAAAATAGAAGCTATTTTATAACATGATAATTAGGTTCAACACCCTTGTGACTAGAATATATTGAGATCCAGGCCTCTATACAGCTCAGCCTACTCACACTACTCCTCTTGTTGGACCTGCTGCTATGTCTGATGATAGGGCCTCATCTATACCTGGTTTGAGTCAGCAACAATTCTCTCAACTTGTCTCTCTGCTGCAGCAAACTCAAATCAATCATGCTCCTGAGCCTCAACCCAATCTGATGGGATCTGCTAACTTTGCTGGTAGTGTTCTTTCCTTGCCTGTTTATACTGATGATGATTCTCATGCTTGCATGTTGTCTAGTGTAAGTAGAGATGTGTGGATTATAGATAGTGGAGCTACTGATCATATGACCTCCAATAGAGAAATTCTTTCAAATCTGACTCCACTTCCTACTCCTTACTTGGTAACTTTACCTAATGGTTATAAGGCAAAGGTTACTTGTATTGGTTCCTGTACTTTATTTCCATCTTTCACTCTTCATCATGTCCTCTATATTCCTTCTTTTCAATATAATCTGATTTCTGTACACAAGCTTATTCAACAATTTTATTGTCTTGTCTTGTTTACCTCTATTTCATGTATTTTGATATAGGACCTTTCCATGAGGAAGCTTCTGGAACTTGGTAAAGTCGACCAAGGACTCTAAAAGCTTCTTCGTGATCATCAACTCAATGAAACATCTAATTTTCCTGTTTCTGTTTTTCGAAATAATATGCAAAATGTCTCCATTCCTGACCAGTCTAGTAAGACTGCACATAATAAGGCTGCTTTGCATACTATTCCTGTTGTTCCTTGTAATGATAAGGAGAGCATAAATAAAAATGATGTTCTTTGGCATCATAGATTAGGACATATTCCATTTTCTAAAATGAAAACCATCCCTTCTATTTCTGCTGAATTATCTGCCAAACAGTCCTTTATATGTCCTGTTTGTCCTCTTGCTAGGCAGGCAAGATTACCTTTTTCAGCTAGTTCTACTGTTTCTGATTCCTTGTTTGAGCCAATTCATGTTGACACATGGGGTCCCTATCATACTTAGACTTATTCTGGGGCAAAGTACTTTCTTACCATTGTGGATGACCATAGTAGAGCTACTTGGACTCACTTGTTGCATGCTAAATGTAATGCTTTTACTATGCTGAAGGCTTTTATTTCCATGGTGAAAACTCAATTTAACCTCTCTGTTAAAAAAATTCGAAGTGATAATGCCTTGGAAATTGAACTTTCCAATTCTGCCTTACAATATTTCTCAGATAATGGAATTATCCATTAGACTACCTGTTCTCACACACCTCAACAAAATGGAATTGTTGAAAGAAAGCATAAGCACTTATTTGAAACAGCTAGAGCCTTGATGTACCAATCTAAGTTACCAACAAAATTTTGGGGAGATTGCATTTTAACGAGTAGATTAATTCATGTGCAAGGCATTGAACAAGTATCAGTTTGCAATGAGAGAAACTTATCCACACATGGTGTTTAAACCAAACCACGTGAATTTACCGCAGTTGAGAATAACTTGAGATGAGAATACACACAAATTAACTAGAGCTAAGAGAGAAATGTGTATAAAAGACATATCTCATAAATTCATTGATATGGTGGAAACACCGGGTGTGCGAGTTTTCTCTGCTTGCTATTATTTAAATTCATGAAATACCACCATGTACCCTCAAGAATCCAACTCTTTAATTAATGAAACCATTTCTCTTGTATGTGCCGGGTGGGGTGGGGGNATTTTGTAACATGATAGTACCTTCCGGACAGAAGAAAACAAATACGAAAACCATTCCTTAGAAGGCAGTGGAGTTGGCTAAAAGTGAATTCTCATAATGCTGCTGAATTATTTAACAAAATAGCAAGCAGAGTTTTCCAAGGTAAAGAAAATACAGCAGCTATTGAAAAATTTACAGGAAAAAGATGATAATTAGCTACAAGCCCTCCTATTGTAGCAAATAAATCGTAACCAGAACATAACAAGCTTCTAAATAAAATAGTTTCTTAGAACCTTTGCTATCTTATTTAAGATAGAAATATGATGAACCACTAACCCGATATCTATCTTTACGGTCTTTGTAGTGATTGATCTTGACAATTATACAATCAAAGAGGCATACAACATAAAATGAATGCTGTTTTTAAAGCAGCTAAATAACAGTTTTAAAGTCAAATTGCTTAAAAAAAAGTAAGCACATAAGTGACCAAGACTAATTTTTACCTGAGTTTATTGTGAGATCAGTGTCATGATTCAGAGAAGGGCAAAAACATCTAAAACTATTCCTTTTCAAGACCGTGTGTGCTCAAAATTGAACTACTCGTTTCTTTAAGACGCCACCATTCTATAATATTGAATTAATTCAATATACAAATCCAAATTCTTTCCTTCATTTAATACAGTTAACTTTTCTTTGGTATCAACGAATTACCATCAAAACATTAGAGGACAAAACAATTACCATTCATAAAACTCTAAGGGTTCATTTTATTGAATCAAATATGAGGACCAAATCAAAAAATATTATACAAAATACACTAAAAATGACTAAAAATCATGAAAATAATGATGATATACCTGAGTACAGCATCATCTCAGAATATTGCATCAAGCAATATCGTAACCCTCAATAACCTTGCCTAACATAGGAGACACAAGACTCTCCATGAAAGATCTAGTTCTTTCAAACTTAGCAGTTATTCCACCAACCTTCATATCCCTCCATTGATCCTCTTTCATGTTGTAAACAATCAAATTCTCTCTATCAACATTCAATACAACATCATCATCACTAATTGAACAAAATGGCACCAAACCATGCACTAAATCCAGTCCAGCAATCCTAAATTTGGTCCAAGACTCCTCAACCCCATATCTTTTCATCATCCAAAACTCAATTTTGTTTTCTTCTGTATCATTCAACAACATACAAAGACACCCTCTAAAAGCCACAAGATCACAAAGCACAAAATTATTGTCATCGAGTGCATTAGGGACTGGCAGCTCCAAGAATGTCTCATCATTTAAATCAAAAGCAACAATTACAGAGGAATAATCAGGAGATTTCCTAGCCAACCAATGCAAAGCCCCATTTACTAAAACCCCAGAACCGCCAATAGGAACTCCATGATCAACAGGTAGCTTCCCATGCCTCCTCCATAGATCCATTCTAACAGAGTAGACATCAACAAAAATATTGTCTAAATCCCGTTTATATCGAGAAAGAGTAACCACCTTATAGTCATTACTAGCAAAATCGTACCCTAGACCACACATGCTAAAGCTACCCGGCACAGTAAGAGCCAAATGAAAGTTTGGAATTCTATGGTACTCTAAGGTTGTGGGGTTGATTAAATATTTAATATTTTCCGTATTCTCCACCAAGACCAAGCCATTACATGAGCCAACCACTTTTTCCCAGCTGTGTGAGAGCTGCGGAAAATTAAGCTTTCTTGAAATGGCATTAGTTGTTCCATTTTGGGGGTTTTGGTTAAATGTGATAGTGTGAAGAGCCCCAGAACTAGAGACGAAAATGAGTTTCGATTCTTCTTTATGGGAATGGATGATATGATGAAATTTGATGAATTGTGGGTCTGAGAGAAAATTGAGCCACTGTTTTGACACGCATCTAAACTGGCCTATGGACTTTGCAGGCAGCCGAGAGAGTATGTCAATGATGATTTCTTGGGCTAGATATTCAGCTTTGCTCATCGCCATGGTTGAATTTGGATTTGGACGAGAAATTACGGAAGAGTATGGAATCGGTACAGCGTAAAATAGGGGTGGCAAAATTAGTAGGACCTGTTAGTAGCATTTGATTGGAACTTGGAAGTTTTTAAGATTTTATTAAAACTAGAAAAAGTTTTCACCTAACAGAATATTTCCTTTCAATTAGTTTAGTTGGAATCTGGATAATATATGATTGAACTTTGAAAGAGAAAAAAAGGTACTCCTACTTGAAGTTGCAGTTGATTACGTGTATTTGGAAGTTAAGTCATATCTATATATAAATATAATCGGCATAAGAGAGGTGATGTGGCACCATTCTCTGTTCAACAAAATTATTTATTCTTTTTATTCTTTTTTGATTTATTTTTTTTGTTTAAAATATTTTATTTCCATGTTAAAGAGACCCAAAAGTCACGCCAGTTAAGCCATTGAGAGTTACAACGGCTGAACATAATGAGGCAACGATTAATTTCAGAATGAATAAATTGAACAAAACAGATAGATTCTTATGCATCTGAAGCCAATCAATGTCCATAAAGTACCCTTGAATGCGGTGGCAATGGAGAGGAGTATTCTTCAGTTTTTTCTCATATTCCCCGCCTCCCTAAAGAAGCTTCATGTGATCTTTTTTGACTGCATATTGTATCCATTTTGTTTGAGTTTCTTTTATACTTTATTGTTATATTTTTAATCAACTTGAAGTTTTCCGACAATACATAAGCCGGTGCTAAATCTGTAGCGAACTTCCCGGCTGGTTTAGGGGATATATTGACAAAGAAAACGTCGGGAGTGTATTGACAAAGAAAGAAAAAGAAGGCAGCGACAATACAAGGATAGAGAGATGGACAACAAATCTGCTTATAGAGATTCTGTTGTTGATCGGTTTGAATAAATTTGCATAATGATATAATTATGAGACTTTGTACTTTGTTGTGTGGATATATAAACAATATTCCCAATTTGGCAAGATGGAATCGCTGGTATGATTCATTATTTAATTTATAGATTATTAGCTCCATCAGATATTTTAGTTCATAAAGTATACCTATGTTGGAGCAGGCATGGAGGATCATGGCTTTGCTTACTTTGAGCGGGTTAAAGAAAGATTGAAATTAATTCTTAAGTGTCTTCATATCTATAGCAGGGAGATAATTATAATACCACAACTACAGTTTCTGATATCCTTTCTCATGCTGTTAAATTGTTTTTCAATGATCTTGGTCAAATTCATCAATTTATTTGTCTTGGTGAGATTATCAATATCCTTTAAGTAATTTATAAAAGTTCATAAAATGTGAACGGAAAATGACTATCTGCTATATTCTTCCTTTTGTTTAGCGAAGCAAGATCGATGCAACTTTGTAAGTGGTGTGTATGCAGTATGCTTCCCATTCTTCTGTTTTAAGACACAATGAATGTTCATTTTAAGAAAATAATGACGTCAAGCATCAACTATGGCTCATGCTGATAAAAAAATATTTTTTTTAGAATTTTGACGGGAATAACTATGATTTTAACCAGATTTTGAAGAAATAATATAATGACAATTACCAAAAATACATTTAACTTTATTTCTTTGGTTATAAGTATTTATTACTTTAGAACGAGAATATACGTATGCAATTATATTTGTCAAAATAAATTTTTTTGCAGTAACATGTTTCTATTCTTTGTAAGAATAAATATCTTTTTCCTTTTGGAGTTGGATAGCAGGAGAGATGATTGGACTATGGGATTCTNACATTTATCAAAATAAACTTTTTTACATTAACATGTTTCTATTCTTGGTAAGAATAAATATCTTTTTCCTTTTGGAGTTGGATAACATGAAAGATGATTGGACTATGGGATTCTATCAATACAAAGAAAAATAGGGCAACAAGTATTAGAGTGTTACTCATGTATTTTCTTTTATCATGTCTAAATTTATAATTAAAAAAGTCATTTTGTAAGTTCACTAAATTCTTTTACCATCGCGCGAAGCGCGAACCATTTAACTAGTTTATTCATAAATTTACACTTTAACATATTTGAAATTTTGTGAGTAAAAATCTTTATCCTTGAAATACTCTTCAAACATGTTTTAAATATTTGATAATAACTTCAATATTGAAGATCAGTATTTATAATTAAGTTCAATATTTGCAAATACTATGATGGGCAAACTTTAACTTGTATACAGAGTCGAAGCTAAGATTTTGAATATATGAATTCTAGATATTTAGGAAATGCAGTTTTTTGAGTTCTAGATTAATGATTTATACGTATATATTAAGTGAAATTTTTAATACAAATATAAAATTCAAGCCAAAGCTACTGATTTTTGCTCAACTGTAACTAGAACGGTAGCTCCTCTTGTGGATAATTATTTTTTCATGAAAACTACCCGTGCGTTAGAGGTCAATTATTTTTTTCATCAAAACCACCCGTGTGTTAGAGGTCAAAGCTTTGACTCTTACCCGTGTGTAAATCAGAAAAGATGAAAGGAGGATGCGTTGTACCATACCTCCAATTACGTACTCATTTCAGCTATGTGCTATAGATATAAGTAAAGGCTATAGCCATCGATCTATAGTCATCAATAATACTAAAGTGTCCTGTTTTGGCCGAACTTAGAAGTTGGGAATTCATTTGGTCAGTTAAAATCCTCTGTGAAGAATAACTTTCTCTCGGGCTTGTCCCTAATCCATTATCCCTGAGCTGTGTTCTATTGCTTCTGAACTTCAGATACCAACTTGATAATATGGAGAACGCTCAAGCCAACTTTAACAATCCATTTTTGAAGAGTAAGATCAATTGAAGTGTGTGTAATACTCGCTTCATATTCGTTTTCTATGTTATATAATACCAGGATAGCATAAAAATCTCAAATTCTGATGTGATGGGGTTTGGTAAAATCATGGTCATTCACCACCAAAGCCATGGCAGGAAGCAGCATGCTGTGATAGGTGACAGACACTTCTCTTGATCTGATTTTATTCTGCAATAGTTACCTATATAGAAAACCTCAAATCTTGAATTTGCAATGAACTAGAGGCGATATGAAAGGTAACATGCATGGATGTTATTCTTTTATGTAGTACCTTGGCAAAGTACATGAAATTTTTCACTTTCCAGCATTCAGGTCATTCTAAGATTGGAGGTTGCAATTGCATGTAGCTTGTTACAATATAAAAGGCTGTTGTTTACTCATAGTAAAAAGAAACTCAATTTCTGACTTATTCTTGGATCAGAAGATTCTCTATCAGCATACTCACACTGTCAGTTAGACAAGCACTCTCCTGCCAGTTATAGCAATAAGTGGCTGTAATAGAGTTGATTGTCTAATATTTATCAAAATAAGCAATCTGTACCATTTTTTCAACCAAAAACAGAAATACGACAGGGAAGCACAATAATTTGATATGCTAATAAAACATTGCAAAGCTAAAAATTTGTTTACTGAAATTCGAACGATAATCCTTTCTTTCACAAGAGGAGAAGATTTTATGTAAAACAACCTGTTAAATGCGCGTTTATCGCTACTCAGATCATCTATTAAAGCTCAACTGAGATATGAACGATCAACGATCAAATCTCAAGTATAAGGGTTTAATCAAAAGCGACATTTTCTCCTAACATTGCTAGTATTGCCTTTGCAGACTTCAAAATATACCAAACACAAATGCATGTCTCAAGTACTACCTTTGTATACTTCATCACATTATACAAACCACTATTAGGATTAAAATATATTGAGATCCAGGCCTTTGTATACAACTCTCTTTTGATAAGGCTTTGTATACATCAGCTTAACTTCTATTCTGCTGCAGTAGATTAATTCCTGTCCAAAGCATAGACAAAGTGTAAGTTTGCTATGAAAGAAACTTATCCATACCTGGTGTTTAAACCAAACTGCATGAGTTTAGCATAGTTGACAGTAAATTGAGTTAAAATAAACACAAATTAACCACAGTTAAGTGATAAAATGTGTATAAAAGGGATATGTCATACAATCATTGATATGGTGGAAACATCGGGTGCGTGAGGTTTTTCCATTTGCTATTATGTACATCCATGAAATACCACCATGTACCCTCAATAATCCTACTCTTTAATTAATGAAACCCTTTTCCCGTTTATGGGCAGGGAGGTAAGATTCTTTAGGCCATTTGTCCATAGACTAAATTTTGTAGCATGATAGCAACTTCTGAAAAATAAGAATAATATGAAGAAAAACATCAAGTGGCTTCGGAGTGGGATGAGCTCTTTGGTGCAGTCAAACAATCTGCGCTCCCACGTACTGACTTGGATCACTCTCCAATTATCCTAGAGTATGGTCATTGGGCTAGAAATGTCTCTTATTTTAAGTTCAAAAATATGTGGTTAGAGCACCCTAATTTTGAGGAATTGGTTAGAAATTGGTGGATGCTTTTCAATATTTTGGGCAGCCCGGATTATATTTTTGCAAAGAAGCTCGAGTTATTGAAACTTCAGCTTAAAGAATGGAACAAGTCCACCTTGGTCTTTTGGAGAATAGCAAAACTTCTATACTGAGTGAAATCATGGAAATGATCAAGAAGCTGAAGAAACACCACTCTCGGATGATCTCTTACTCTCCAAAGCAAACCTACATATGGAGCTTGAGGAGATTTTCAAAATGGAAAAAATCACCTGGACACAGAAGTCTAGGTGCCTTTGGTTGAAGCAAGGGGACAACAACACTGCTTTTTCCACAAGATGGCACTCTCATAAGAGATTCAATCATATTGACAAGCTGGAGATTGGGGAGTACTTTATGAAAACGAAGAGGTCATCAAAAATGAGATTCTTAGTTTTTATGAGGCATTATACAAAGAGAATGAAAACTGGAGAACACTTTGGGAATGTGTCAATGCTCCATGCATTTACAGCGAGGAAAAGGAGTGGCTTCACAGACCTTGCCGGAAAGAGGAGATACATTGGGTCATCAAAAGTTGCGAAAGTGAAAATCGCTGGGTCCAGATTGGTTCTCAATGTGTTTCTACAAAAGGTGTTGGCTGATTCTAAAAGTTGATTTGTTGAATGCTATTAATCACTTTCATGATTGTGAATATTTTGAAAGATTAAATTCTTCTTATACAGCTCTTATCCCTAAGAAGACTGATGCAAAGGAACTAAAAGATTATAGACCTACTTGATCGGTAGTTTCTATAAGATCTTTTCCAAAACTTTGGCGAATAGGCTTAAAAATGTGCTGCCAAGTCTTGTCAGTCCTTCTCAGATGGCTTTTCTTAGTGATAGAAACATCATAGATGCAGCCTTGATCGCCAATGAATGTTCGGATTCAAGGATGAAGTTGGGAAAGCCGAGAATAGGTTAACTTAAATTGAAACAGAAGGAGTAATATATAGATTGATATGTCTTGATTCTTGAGTAAAAATGTGAGGTTGTTCATTTTAAGGGCCTTTTTTCATTGTTAGTTACTCTTATCTATGTATTGCTACTGTTGATATCAATCTTAAGAGTCTCTCCACTCTCAACAATGTGGTTAGCTTCTTAAGTAGCGATACCACCTGATATCTATCTTAAGAGTCTTTATAGTGATAGATCGTGCAATTATACAATCAATGAGGTAGAAAGCTTAAATTTGTTTCCTTTTCTAGAGCAGCCTGATCATAGTTCTACCGTCAGTACTGCTTAAAAAGGGTATCCATGGGAGTGGCGAACACTAATTTTACATGAGTTCATTGTGAGATTAACTTATGATTCAAAGAAGAGCCAAAACTTCTAAAATTAATCACATAACTTATGATTACATGTGCTCAACATTGAACTATATAAGTTTTCCTTAAAGGCCACCGGCCATTCGATGATGTTGAATTGAAACAAGTTATAATTTCAAGTTTTTCCCATTTCAAGTGATACAATCAATCACTAAATCTATCTTCGGGATGGAAGAATTACCATCACAAACACTATGAAGAAAGAATTACCCTTTGCCGATCCTTTATGGGGTTTAATTTTATTGAATAAAATGCAGGGACAAAATTAAACATACTATATAAAGAAATTGTAAAAATGCCTTTGTAATACCTGAGTACAGCATCATCTTAGAGTATTGCATCAAACAATAAAGTATCAAGACTCTCCATGAAGTATCCAGTTCTTTTCAACATAGAAGTTATTCCATCAACCATCATATCCCTCCATTGATCCTCTTTCATATTGCAGATAATCAACTTTTCTCCAATCACCTCCGATAGTACAAAATCATCATTACTCATTAAGCACAACGGTATGAAACCATTCACTGAATTTGGTCCTTTAAATCTAAACGCAGTCCAAGAATCCTCAACTCCGTACTCTCTCATTATCCAAAGCTCAACTTCGTTGCCCCCATGAGTAATATACATAAAAGACACCCTCTAAGAGCCACAAGATTATACCACCCCAAATTACCTTTACCAAAAACAGTAGGTGTTGGCACCTCCGAGAATGACTCAGAAGTTAAATCAAAAGCAACGATTATAGATGAATACTGCAGCATAGGAGCTTTCCTAGCCATCCAATGCAAAGCCCCATTTACCAAAACCCCAGAACCGTTAGCATGAGTTAAATCATGATGAGCTATATGATCATGAGGTATACACTCAAGTCTCCTCCATAGACCCATTCTCACAGAGTAGACATCGATAAAAGTACTGTCAACAGTCCATTCATATCCAATATATCGAGAAAGAGTAACAACCTTATAATCATCAGTAGCAAAATCATACCCTAGACCAGACATTGCACAGGTACCTGCTGCAGGAAGAGCCAAATGCAACTTTGGAATTCTATGGTACTTTAAAGTTGTGGGGTTAAACAGATATTTAATCTTTTGCCTATTAACCACCAAGACCAAGCCATTACATGAGCCAATAACTCTTAGCCAGTTATCTGGCAGCTCCGGAAAATTAAGCTTTTTTGAAATGGCATCAGTTCCATTTTGGTTAAAAGTGATAGTGTGAAGAGCATGAGAAACAGAGATGTAAATGAGTTTTTCTTCTTTTTTGTGGGCATGGATAATGTGGTGAGCTTTGATGAATTGTGGGTCTGAGAGAAGATTGCGCCATTGCTTTGACACGCACCTGTAATGGCCTATGAATTTCGCAGGCAGCAGGGAAAGTATGTCAAATACGATTTCTTCGGGTAGGGTTTTAGCTTTGCTCATAGCCATTGAAGGAGTGTAGGATTTTTCTTGCCTGTGACTCTAGTTTTTCTATTATTGGGAAAAAATGAAAATAAGGAATTTACCGTTTGAGTGGAAAAGTTTTTTTCAATTTGTTTCAAGTATTACGAAAATTAGAAAAAGTTTCTATCCATCAAATTTTCTCTTTCGATGTAAAAAGTTGAAGTGCAAATTGAATAAGAGTACTTGAAAGTTGAAATTGTATTTGGGTATAAATTTACTCCAAAAAGTTGTATTTTTCTTTACTTAAGACCATTATTTCACTAAAATAAGATTTCAGTATTTGTGAATAATCACTTCCAGAATGGGAGCTTTGGCGTAACTGGTAAAATTGCACAGAACTCATCCTCTTCTATTTCGAAGGGGAGCCTTGGCGTAACTGGTAAAATTACCTCCATGTGACCAGGAGGTCACACGTTCGAGCCGTGGAAACAACCTTATTGATTATGCAAGACTTATTTTTCCTAAGGAAGAAGGTCATACTTGCCCAGGTATTATGCGAACATGTGTGGAATTAATCACAACCCTTCCTCTTCTATTTCGCCTTTCTAAAGAGCAGGCTTGAATACAGAAAGAGATTCGTACTGTTTGCTGACTAAAAATTTATGATCTTTGCCTCTTTTCACAGTCAAAGTCAAAGGTGTCAAAGGTTTGTTGGTAGCAAGATCAGTGATGGGCCTAAGCGATCACGACATCTTGTTGATATTGATTGAGGAGTTTGATGAAGTTTAGCTAACTGAATCCTCGCGGACAATTGTGGGTGTGGCAAATTTCTTCAGCTATGAGAAATGGTCTACATATGCCTCTGTAGCTTAAAAATTATCACAGTTTACCCCTCCCCTAAAATACTGTATTCATTTAATCTTTTTAATTATCACTATCTTTTTAATTGATGCCTCATGATTATAATTGATTTGAATGGATCATGCTACACATCCCAACAACATTCCTACAATTAAAATAAGTTAAAAAATTAAATTCTAGATGGATATTCAAATTTGAAGTTGATGTTTTGCTGTGGTGAGACTCGAACCCCATTGAAGGAGCTTCAGGGAACAAAGTTCCACTCAAATCTGGAAAATTTTACTGTATAATGATTGGGTGAAGTTAAAAATTATTGAAAAAGCTTGTAGTAACTTGAATCTTGAATGCTCGATTGATTGTGTTTGACTAACATTGATTATGGGAATTACAACTGAAACTTACAACTGGAAATGCTAGATTTATTGGGCTGAAATTACAACTGAAACTTACTTAAATAGGGACATTACATAATGGTATCCAGAGGTAAAATGGCATAATAACATTTTATCTCTTTCTATGCAGCCAACTATACAAAATATTTAGCATCTACGAGTTTGTTATAAAAGAGAAGAACGAATTTATAATGAGTAACCTAGATATGTTTACCTAGTTAAAGTCAGACTTGCAATGTTTGTACAACATAGTGTTAAGATTGGTGAAACCGATCAGAAATGGAGAAAATTGAGACTAAGGTTTGATTAATCGGGCATGTTTGCAGAGAGAAGAATCGAGATTCTTTTCTCAGAAATTGAATAAAAATATTTAAGTCTAACTATTTATACTGGGACAAAATTGGAAAATACAAAACAAGAGAAAAAAATGATTAGGTTGTATTGGCTAATAAATACAATTGGCCAAACAGCTAACTAACTATTAATAAGCCCAATTGACTACAAATCAAGTAACTCCAACACATAGCTTTCCACCATTGCAGACAGAAGTAATTCTTCAAATTTTATTTTTAAGATAAAATTGGTGCCCTAACACCACCTTGGATAATACCAAATCATAATAAAAGCTTTTGAAAAATCTAAAACACCCAACAGTAAATACAAATAATGAAGACGGATAGTAAACAACAAAAGAATTGAGCAAGCACTTCACAACTCCATTGCTAAAGCAACTGTCATTGACCACTTTTTCTCTGCAGGACATATCATTGAGTTTCTAATAATAGAGACACACATCTGTTATTGCCGTTGTTAAGTAATAGGAACTCAGCTCTTGTTACACACCATGTGAGGCCTACCATAAGGGCAGTGTCGACGGACGATCTTTTCAGCCAATTAACACTATTTTACGACCCAGCTAGTATCCCTCTTATTCTCTTGTTCATCAGTTTCGCACAAAGGGTATGATGAAGAAGTCTTTATACCGTTTTTATCAACTTCATCAAATAGAGCAACCTCTAATGCTACGTTCCTTTTGAGAATTCACATCTACTAAAAAATCAAGATTTACCCAAATTATTAGATGATGGCCTATCTAGACCATTTCACAAGTTTATGGCATATTTGAACATTTTTGTTCTAAATTTTGGATGCAGTGCAGCAAACCATTATAATCTGTTTCACTTTCACTTTTGCAAAGCATGATTGACACTAACTATTAACGAAGAGCATATATAGATTATTTTCCATAATTCAAGGATATATTTTACCCTTTATCTCTCCAACCAAATGTTGAATTATTTTGGCAAGATATTATGATAGGGATTATTTTTCGTAATCTCTAAAACTAAATGGACAGGGTCAAGGTTTAAGCCGATGAGTAGAGGGCAAATTGGACCACCTAGCATCGAAGTGAGATGCCACCGAAGAGGACGTGGTGTTGACCAAAGTGCAGCTCTGAGTGACAAAAAAAATGTCGACAAATGGTCTCTACTAAACGGAACTCAGGGCACAAACTTGCCTCAGTCGTCGCAGAGCATAACGCTCTTGGCCAAGAGTATATTACATTGAAGTCCAAATTAGAGGTGGCTTCTAACGAGATCTCGGAAGTCCAAGATATGATATCCTAATATAAGGCCAATGTCGAGATAGTCAAAGCCCGGAACATAACGAAGGTTGAGTATGTGAAGTGGCTATCTCAGAGGGAGGCTCTCGAAGAGATCCAAGTTTGTAGGGGGTTGACGTAGCGTCCAAGATCGAAAAGGCTAAGAGGTTTTATGTCGAGGCCAAAACGAGGTACCAGCCTAAGGGATCATATTTGTATGTTTTTCACTTTGGAGTGGTTTTCTTGTGCCTCTGTAAATAGTTTTTGATAAATATAATAAATTACCCTTAGGCTATACATTGTGTCCTTTAATTTTTCTGCATTTCCTTCTGCTTAGGACTTAGAATATATAACTTGTATCTCGGACTTAATGCATTATCGATGCCTTAGCATAAATTTTGTTATTGCTCAAATTGTTCAACTACAAAAGGCCGAATAAGGCCCAGGTCAAGTAACGACTATGAGTTGCTTTGACTTTGAAGGATCTAACAAAAAATGAAACGAAGTCAAAAAAGTTATCTAGACACACTTAATATTTTTCGAAGGTGGCTCTTTCCTTGACCATAATTCTAAACTGATTGATTTGATCAGATCGTGCATAATTTTTATAGACTTAAAATGTGTAAGGACCTTACTTTTTATATTTATGAACTCAGACGTCTCTGATTTGTTTATGCATTAGGGTCGAAGCTCTAATAGCTTCAAACCTTAAGTTGGTCGTAGCCTTTCATATTAAAGCCCTGCCTCGTAGGCTTGAACCCTCGGGGTTTAGTAATCCGATCTACCCGGTCTTTTTGTCAGACGGTAGTCCTCAGTTTGGGGCGACCCGCAGGCTTAGAGGTCTTTAAATAATTGGGCACAGTCTCGTGGGATCTTATTGCTTTTGGGGTTTCATACCCCCTGATTAACGATGACCCGTGGGCTTAGAGGGTTTTGAACCCAATATTTTATTCTAAGTGGCATAATGATAATAATGCTCGTTTAAGCATGAACCGATGAAGCATAGAAGGTGAATTTCTCACTTTATTACTTCAAATGTAATGTAAATAATCAAAGATACAAAAACTATCTGCCATGGAAGGAATGAACTATCTAGGCACAATTCATTTGATTGTTTGAACCTTACAATAAATATTATTATTCAAGCTTTGGCTTGCGATATCGATAAAATCGTCTTCGAAATTTCTGAACTTAGTCATTGGTTCTTGATTCAGGGTGTGATAGTCCCCTGGTACTTGAGGCCAAATTTTGAGGGCTCGAGTACTAATGATCTGATGTGGGCAGTGCCCGGTACTTGATCGGTCCTCAAAACTAGAGTAGCACGCTTACTGTTGTCTCGTTAAAAATCTTGTCATAAAACCCACTTCGGAAAAAATCAGCCGAAGGGAAAAAGAGTGCAACACGTGATTTTAGACCTAATTCTTGGACTTGACTTCGGTTAAGTACCTGCACGGGTTAGCTCGAAAGATAATAAACCTCAAAGAAGATTAGGTATTCATACCTTAACAGTAGTACCGCTTTAAGTGTGCCACATTCTAGTTGTCTTGCAATTGTATGCTATTTTCGGATTCAAGCTGGTACAAGCCCTTTTCGGTTATACCGGTGACTCTGTATGGTCCTTCCCAATTCGGGTCTAATTCCCTGTCATTCAGGTTCTTGGTATGTAGTGTGACTTTTCTCAATACTAGGTCCCCGACTTGGAAGTGTCGAAGGTTTGCCCTTCAGTTGTAATATCTCCCCATCCGTTACTTTTGAGCTACTAATCAGACCAGCGCGGCTTCTCGTTGTTCGTCTACTAATTCAGAGTTGTAGACATGGCCTCGTTATTTGATGTTTTCGTAGCATATTGGAACCTCAAGCTCGGTTCCCCCACTTCTACTGGAATTGAAGCCTATGCACCGTATACTAGAGAAAATGTCACGACCCAAGTTCGCCCTCCGTGAACTGTCGTGACAGCACCTAGTCCCTACGACTAGGTAACCCTAACAATTGTGGAAAAAGAAACAAAATGCGGAGAAACTAATAAAAACTGAAGATAAGCAAATATAGAAGCGTTTAAGATGCCACTCGGCATATACTAATACAAGATCTCAAAAAACTGAAGAACTTCCCAAAACCCAGAATCTCATGAAATCACAAGCTAAGGATACTACATAGTTCTCTAACTCCAGAATGTCTAAAACAAAGCAAATACAGAAGGGTTGTAACTACAAGAGAGAATGGAGAGGGACTCCTT